GTGTTTCACAACTTGTTGTGTGATTACTAGGTTATGCTGGGTGGTTGCCAAGGTGTTACTATGCAGTTGCTAAGGCATTCTGAGTGTTTTAACCAGTGGCGGCTGGTGAAAAAAATTTGAGGTGGGGCTGTGGCACATTGGCACATCAAACAATTACAGCAAGCGTTGCAATATGATTTATTGCAATGCAGACAAAGTTAAAGAACATCTGGTTACCTGTTTATTCGTTAAATCATCTCTGTTCAGTTAATTTACCAGTCTCCGTTAAATTTTGGATACTTCCATGACTGATACAAATCTGAGGATAACCATGTACAAGAAAATCAATGTGGTGAAAAAAATCCTACATGTTTTCTTTTGACTTATTTGTACAGGAATTTTGCTCTTCTCTACTTCTGATTGACAAACTTCTCAATGACTTTCTTATTGAAGTCAGGAATGTCTCTGACAAGTTTCTTCTCAATAGAAAGCATTGCCAGAGCATTAAGGCGATCCTGGGTCACTGTATTTCTTAGGAAAGTCTTGATCCTCTTCAAAGTAGAAAAGCACCTCTCTGACTCTGCTGTTGTCATAGGCGTGGTGATTATGATCTTGAGTAGACTGACAGTCTCTGTGAAAGTTCTTTGAAGATTGTTCTTAATGAAAAACTGGTACAGAGGCACTGCACCACTGCCAACCTTAAACTCAGGGTTCTCATAGATGAGGGACAGTTCTGTTTTGAGCTTGGCCTTGTTCAGCATGGGGTATGCCTCCACTGTTGTTTCAAGTGCTGATTCAGGAAACTTCACACTGTGTTGTGGAAACAACTCTCCATGCAGCAATGTTGCACTGACGAGGTGCTGGGTGACGGAGAACCGCTCCTTGGTATGAATCAGGATGGTATCACATACCTGTAAAACATTTTTATCAAAGAAGTGATTCTGAGTGAACACAACATGTACATTATATTATTACTAAAGTTTAAAGTCCAGTCCAGTATTCCTCATTGTACTTTACAGCGTTTACTTCTCCTGATCTTAAACTTGCTATTGGTTTCCTAAACAAAACAAGGTCTACAGTAGAATTTCAATAAATAAACCACCTATTTTCTGCTACATGTAAGGATATTATGTACTTAATTATTTTCCCATTTGTGTGGATGACAGAAACATCATCTGAAACAAGCTCATTCTGATTCTGATCATGCTACTTGTGACTGATCAGCACTTTTTTGGTACTGTACATGAAGATGACTTGGCCCATCTGTTTTATAACTGTGATCTATGCGTTTTAAATACGGAGGCCAGCTACACAGTTTTCTTAGACTAGTCTTAAAAGTTAGTGATGTCATTATTTTCTTCTAGACGGTTCCTATCTTTTTTAGTCAGTTAAATTAAAAAGTAGACTGGTTAAGTTTACCGTTTGGCTGACTGCTAGTTGGTCAAACTAGTGCTTAATATCTTAATACAGTGGCTATGTTTATGCTACTGGACTGGTCTGATATTAGTTCCTTTTATTTGTCACTAAAAGAGGTTATATCCACTTACACACAGAAGCAAGATAATGGCATGTGTTGTGAATTTCTATATTCTGAATGGCAAATACTATATTCACAAAATAATATATTTACAAAGAGTCACTACAAGAATGCTTATTATGAACAATTTTTTTATATTTTATGGAATAATTATTTACAATATAACGCCCATACTAAACCTCAAACATTATGGATCTTGAATTTGTTTTTGGGAAAACAATACTTTTCACTCTTTTTCCTTGTTGGTATTTAACCATCTGTTTATTTATAATAATTATAATCTATATGCTATATTTTGTCTGTTGGTGTGTGTGTGTTTTTACCTCTGTAGCTAGCCTCTGTTGTTCTCCTGGTCCCAGTGTCCTCTGTCGCTTTTTGGGCTGGTACTGCTGGTCAGATGATGCACTGTCCCCACACAGAAAGGGAATTGAGTCCCTGGTCCAAAAAAAGTTAATAAATAATAATAAAAAATAAAAAAAATGTGATGTGCTCTGTGGCAATCATTCACTTTGATGGCAAGGCACAATTAAGATTTCACAGACAATGAATCTTTCTACCAACAACAGCTTTATCAGCCAATAGTAAATAAGGGCATTTACCTAATTGCTAGCATGTTGTTTGTGAATCCCTGGACAGCTGCTTTAATGTAGACAGGGTCGATGTTCCTCTTCTGCAGCTGGTTGAATAGCATGTCTACATTTGGCATGATCTTGTGAAAGAATGCCAGGAAAAAACAGAAAGCCTCGTCTTCAAGCATCCTCACAAAACCCCCTGACTCTCTGACAGTTGAGGAATCAAAGTTCCCTGAGTCTCTGATGATCTGAAAACATTTTAAAAGGTCATCCTTGTGTTCGTACACAGCGTTTACAGCGCGACTTTGAAAGTTCCAACGTGTTGTAGAGGCTCTGGAAAGTCTGTGCGCAACCACTTGGTCAAGCACGGCGATTCGCTTAGGTGACCCGGAGAAGGCAGAAAATCCACCAAGGTCAGAAAAAAAAGTACCGATTCTGGGGATGCGTGATGTCGCCTGCTGCATGATGAGGTTCAGCTGATGTGCGTAGCAGTGAACGTAGTGAGCATTTTTGTAGACATCCATTATCTTACGCTGCACTCCGCCGCTGCTTCCTCTCATCATCACAGTAGCCCCGTCATAAGTTTGGGCAATTACTTTGTTTTTTTTGTCCATTTGGTAGTATGGTACTTAGCCTGTCCAGAAGTGCTGTAGCGATGGAGTTGGCGTTTGCGTTCTGGATGGTAAAGAACTCAAAAAAGCGCAGTTGCTGTGGAGTTCTGGATGGTTGCTAGGGTGGTGTTATGCAGTTGCTAGGGTGTTCTGGATGGTTGCTAGGGTGGTGTTAAATGGTTGCTAGGGTGTTTTGCTTGTCCACAGCACTTTTTTGCTATTGTATATTTTTTCCCATCATCCCAAAAATGAAAAGTTTGTTGATTTTTGTCAGGTGTGTCTGGTGTTGAGACAGATGGAGTGTTGGTGTCTGTGATGGAGGGAGATTCAATTACTCTACACACTGGAATTAAAAAAGCCCAAGAAGACAGAATTAGATGGTATTTCAATGAGACTCGCATCGCTCAAATCACTAAAGATCTCACCAAGATCTGTACAGATGTTCAGTGTAATGAAGGTACTGAGAGATTCAGAGACAGACTGAAGCTGGATCATCAGACTGGATCTCTGACCATCACAGACACCAGAACCTCAGATGCTGGAGTTTATCAACTGAAGATCTTCAGCAGCAGCAGCATCAGTGAAAAGACCTTCAGCGTTTCTGTCCGTGGTGAGTAATTTAACAAATGTTTAAATTAAGGTTATACATGTTTAAAAGCTTTTAGATTTTCTCTTTAGCTGCATCATAACAGTATAAATTAAATCAAAATTGTCTTTCCATTGGCAAGTCGATAGATTTAACAGTTAGTTTGGAAGTTACACTGTGGTCCTTTCAATCTCGTCCCCCTCTTTCTCCCACTTCACCTGTCTGTTGTCCATACTGTACTCTATAAATAAATAAAGGCAAAAGAAGCTCCAGTTGTGTTCTGGTGGAGAAGTCAGTTTATCATCATGCCACATCTGATCACCTACTCTTATCTTCTGTTTAAATGCATCTGATATTTTATACTCATGGGTTCCTAGTTCATTAGCAATCCAAGCACATTTGACGCAAACAGGACCAAAAAAAGCCACATTTAATTACTGTACTCTGTGGACTTTTTTGTTGAAATTCAACTTTTTTTGAATTTGCTTAGATTATAGCACTACTTACCTTAGGAGATTGATTTCACACAAACAAAAAAACAAAACAAAAAAAAACAGAAGTTCCAAAAACTTAACAAACAAAATTCTTTGAGCAACATTTTCCCTGGACAGTACCTGGATAATGCCAAATTTCATTTAAATTGGACAAATGGCTTGGGACAGGTTCAAAAAAGTAACTCTTTCGTCAAAATGGTAGACTAGTCTACTTGCTGAAATAGAGATATGCTCGACCATGTGATTTCTCTGGTTATGTGTGGGATCTGAAGGATTCCAGTGCAATTGAATGCATCTTTTTATAGCCTACCATTCTAGAGTGACAAGCAAAAAAAGTGCGTTACTTTATTAAAGCGCCGTCGTTGGTGCTTGCGCCCCCTACAAATAAATGTTGCTGTACTGAACATACAATTCGGACATTTATTTTCATGTTTTTTTTCCCCAAAAAAGATCCTCCAGCAGCTGTTGGTTTGTGTTTCAGGTGTTTCTGCTGCTGAACGAGATGAAATGAAGAGAAAGTCAGTGAAGGAGGGAGAATCTGTCACTTTAGATCCTGCTGTAATGAAAAACCCAAATCATGTGATGACGTGGTATTTTAATGACACGCGCATCGCTCAAATTACTGGAGATCCCAATAAGACCTGCACAGATTTTCATTGTCCTGAGAGATTCAGACACAGACTGAAGCTGGATCATCAGACTGGATCTCTGACCATCAGGAACATCAGAATCACAGACTCTGGAGTTTATGAACTACAGATCAGCAGCAGCAGCAGCAGCCGTCGTCGTCGCCACAGCATCAGCAGTGTAAAGAGCTTCGATGTTACTGTCATTAGTAAGTGTAATTTAGTCATTCAGCTATTTGGACTCTTACAGAGGAATATAGAGAAACATGATATTGTTACATATTTTTATTTTAGTACCTTGACAACTTGGTTCTGAAGTACCTTTGATGTCACTGTACACTCTAAAAAATGCTGGGTTAAATACAACCCAGTGCTGGGTAAAATAGGGACAAACCCAGTGTAGCAGATTTACTCTGGTTGTGTTATGTTGTTCTCAAAGACAATGCGGGTGGAGGAAGTCTCAAGATGTTTTATTCTGCAGAAACACACACAGAGCACAATTAAACTTTTTTGGGATACACCTCTCCCCTTCAGTCTGCCCGTACAGCATGGAGAAAGCTGGTAAGCAAAACCAATCTCAGTAAAACATTCAAAATGCAATTCATTGCATTAAATTTCATGACATCACAGTCTCATTACTTAAACATTATTTATCTCATGAAATTAATCGATGACATCGTTTACACTTAGAGGAATGTCCTTACCAGCACTCTCATTTGAAGAGCGAGAGAAAGCACAACAGACCCCATCAGCAGCATATGTGCTTCTAAAGATGGCGCTGTTGGCACATGGCACGAGGTATCATGTGCATCACCAATATGTGCCCCAAATAAGTTAAAATTCTGCATGAACAGTTCCCACTA